GTGGTAACCTACTAGGAGGTTAGAATTGCATTCTCCAATTTCTAATCAATTGGTTTCACCTCTATTAACTGCACTATGCGTAGATTGTTGTAATAAAAGCAAAATCCATTCATAAAATTATTTCTCAACAAAGTAATGCAGAGAGAACCACGGACCTACTCCGAACATGCCCTGAATGCCTTAACTCGCTACGATACTTGTGCGTACATGCGAATTTAAATTGTTTGTTTATTTATGATTTGATCAAACACTTTTGCAGCTGACCTGATGTTTGTTTGTACGTTCTTAGGCTCTAGTTATAATACCCAATAGCAGCCGACGAACGAGAGTATGGGATGCTAAATCCCCATTGAAAGCTTGCCACTTGCAAATGAGGACTAATGTGTCTATGGGAAGAAAATAGAGTATTCAAAATGCATTTGGCAGAACGGTTTTTCAAGAGAATGCCACCTCTTTAACCTGCCCATTACAGCAACACTGATCTTTTTAAAATATAAAAAGAATACATTATGCTCATAAGGCGTTTATTCCTTACCAGTTCGATAAATTAGCTGGTAGCTGTGACAATTGGCGATGTAGGATTAGTTTTGCCAGAGAAGGGGATAATCCCTTAAAGATTCCAACCTTAAAAACTTATATTGTGCAGTATTATATTTATCATCACTTGGTTCTTAAGCCTTGATACCCAAGTTGCGGTAGTGTGGCTCAATGTTAATTTACTTTTTGGGCAGAAAGCAAACAGAACTAGACTCCACCCATTCCGATGGTTTGTGGGATTACCTGAGTCATTGTGAGCATCATATTATGCCACTTTGAATTTACCGATCTCTTACATTTAAAGTCCCTTTTACTTCACCTTTTTTCAAGCGCCTCTTGTAAATTTCGTTCCTAGAGTGCCTCAATGATAGCTTCAAATCTCTTCTACCAAGCTTAGCTATTTTTATTAAGGAACAGTTTTTAATTTTGTGTAAAGCAGCCCCTTTTTGAAGATGGTGTTTTGTAATGAGGCAATTTAGTTCGGCAAAGCATATAGCTAATAGCTAATTTTTGTTGGAAGTAGTGACAAGGCAAAACTGACTTATTCACTCAAAAACTTCACCTAATTTCTAAGTAAATTTGTGCTTATTTGAGAAAAATCGAGGATTCAGTAGCAACGAGTAAAGGTCGTTTAATCTAATCTTCGGCACAGCAACTCCGCAAAGTAAAAAACGATTACACGGACTTGGTGTTAAGATCAAATTGGCCAAATTTTATGGTCATTGGAGTCATGGACCATTTCTTTTTGTAGTAACTGGGTCAAGTCAGTGGTCTCGAGACATCTTAGGGACCCAGGTGTCCGCGTTTCGGTCACCAGCATCACACCACCAGCTAGGTCCAACACTTACAACCAATTCTAACCCTGTCGCCCGAAACGTCTATTCAAGCACAGGGCTAATCTACTCATCCTCTTGCTTCCACTCTCCGAGGAGTATTTACTTCTTACTTCTATGCTTTGTATAGGTCATTGTTAATTTGAAATACGTGCACTACGTCTCGGAACTTTTCAGTCCATAGTAGTTTCGAGAGTGCTATTGTCAACGCCATATACTCACGTTACACCGTTGATTGCGCGAGCAAACCCAGGAATGGCAATGTTGATTGTGAAATTTATTAAAAGGCATTTGAACTGAATATGCAACATATCTCTCCATTAATTCAAATACTTTGATAAAATTTGTCAGGGGGATATTCCTCACCAGTATTCGCGAAATAAATTGGGGATAATTGACGATCCACCTGGAAAAAGTCCATGCCTGTTTGTACACTATAAAATTAAACAAGTGAATGATTAAATTGTAATTGATTTGATAAGTACAGTTGGTGTTTTTAAGCATGGGATTATCGGGGTGGAAAACAAGTGTTAAATATTATGTGCATTGCCTTTCCATTTTGAGCGACCTATTAATCTCGTATCTCGTTGAAGTGTTTATATCATCCCCTGTTTTAACACCTGACGCAGGTGATAACGCTCAGACGCGATATCATCAATCGTGAAGGGGATTTATTTATTGTTAACCGATGAATATCGCATCGTTTGATCAACATGACCGATTGCGTGACTTTGTCTTTATCAGCATGGTCAGTCAGTGAGCAGAATGAGAAAGCAGGATTCTAACTAATATCCATTAAAGTAAACACGATTGCCAGCCTTGGTGGCAGGTGTGTGCACAAGTTCAGTGTTTACAGGTTATTAGCCAGATAACACTTTATCTGGACAAATTTTGCATCAGATGCCAAAACGCTTGGTGAGCCATTCATTCATACTTAGTTTAAACTGTATTGTCTTGGAAAACGGTAACTTCGAATGAGGTTTACTTAGGAGAAGAGCTGTGGATAGAAACGTCTGTCTGTTGAATATATTGCCTATCCATTAGACACCAAATGCTCTTATTATCCTTTGCACAGCCCGGAACCGAATTCTCCTCAAGTTTAGCTTATATGTGAGGTAAAGGAGGTTGAAAAGTGGGTGAAGGTCTATGTGGCAGGGTCATGAAAATTGCTGGAACGATGCACTTGTGATCGTTGAATGACGTGCAGAGGCGAATTAGGCTGCTCTAGGAGTCGACTGATACAAGGAAGAATCATGCAGCTTGTCCAACGGATGAGTTACCGTTTTAGAAGGAATTATTCCACTCGACTGCGACTCAAATAGCCTAACTTGTAATGAAGTAAATAGCAAGTTTTTGTTGTGTCAGGCCCTACAAACCCATTCATAAAATTCCTCCTCAAAGTTGAATTTGAGGGAGGGCACAACTGACGAATTCCAGCTCCATTGGGGTTTGGATGGATGGAAGTTTTCCTCTTATGGATAAATGCTGGATTAAAATGGCTATTGTGATGATTTACTTTGTGCAGTTGTTTATATGTGAAACTTATTTATTTACACAACGAGGCGACCACATACACGTATTTCTAGGCCGATGTTTTGATACTCATCATTTATTTGGACGAAAGCAAATCTACGGGTGAATTTCCTTTGTATTAGGAAAGGACGACATCGAAGCCCCTAATAAAGGTAAATAATTAGTTCGCTCTAGTTTTCCCAGCCACTGGAAATAAGGCTATATAGTCGTATGTAAATCACCAAAATTTAGTCGAGAATGTAAGGATCTGCGGGAATATTACGAGTATGCGAATAATAATTCCAACGAACTAGTAGATTGAATTGAAGGCTCCGCGATTTAACCTCTAGCGTGGCAACGCTGCAAATGAAAAATTATAGCCACACGGTCAAATTTAATGATCATGAATCTTTTCTTCTTCATGGTAACTATATTAAGACGACGTTTTAACGACCCAAATGTCTGCATTTCGGCTACCAACCATGAGCCTAGAAACGAGTAACACCTCGATGGGCAATTAATTTATCGCCACTGCTAAACTCATCTTCCCTGAAACACCTGGCCCGGAACAAGCACAAATTTCCACATCCTATTGCATTCACGCTTCATAAGCCATTTAATTTTGCATTTTTGCATCAAAAGTGAATTGGCAAAATTTCCGAAAGAGATTTTGAGTATGGTTTTAATGATGTTATTAGGGGTAGGCCATTCATTTTCTCTTACAATAAGGCTATCGTGACGGTATTTTTACTCCACATTTTGTAATGGTGGAAACTTTCACGCAGTGCAGCATTATATTCTTCGATAGGACAGTCATGTGAGATGGCTCTCCTCAAACATGCATAAGTTTTAGGGCCTTGAGGACAAGAGGGAAAATCATTGACACATTTCTGCTGAAGGTGTGGTCGTTCAATTTCTCCTGGGGAATGATGGGGGCAGTGAAGGAAAATAAGTTAATCACATTTCTAGCTGAGTAGATTCTCGAAGTGAGTTGATAGACAGAAATAAAATGCAGTTAGAGCAATGGAATCGACCGGTGTATTACTAACTTTAATCTTGATAAACTACCCATCTTAAGCTTGATAAAACAATTTTTGACAAAGCAGATTGGATTGGTGAAAAGACGTGACGACAGTGGTTACAGAAACTGTTTAGACAATGTGTCAAAAAACTAGAGGTCATCCGATTATGTGCGTGCCCACTGCCATTGGGGCCGTAGACTAACCAGGACATCATTTCTGTTAATTAATGCTGTGTTTACTTATAAATCTAATGGGCGTACTGAACATTGAAGCAACATGATTTAGCCTTGGTTCGATGAAATACTCCGGAAGCATAAGTAGCAAATTTTGATTCGAAATGTAAAAGTAGATATCAAAGTCTCTTTTTAAATAGACACGTCTTGTGGATGTCTTTTACGACCACTTCATATCAAAATTAACTAAATATGAATTAATTTGGATGTTCGTTTAGAGCATGTTATGCTTTGCGAGCAAGAGTGATCAGAAGTCAGAATGTCAGAGGAACGAATTGGGGAGTAGGAAGACAAATCACGGACTGGTGGCACCCACTAGCAGAATTCGAAGAATTTATGGACTTTGGGGAAGAGGGGACAAGAAGGTTAAGTCTGGGTATCTGGTGGGTCACTCTTGACTTTCTTAAATATTCAGCATCCTCGTAGCGCGAGATAGGCCATCAATTAACTACCTGTCGGTGACTCCACAGTGGAACAAGCAGTTTTCTCTCTCCACAGATCTCTATGCTGCAGAAGCACCCAAAACGTGCCATGTGCTTCTCCCTGTCTAAGAGCAGTCTCTACATTAATTGATAACTCATGCTAACTGCATAATTAAAATGCATAAGCTAAAACTTTGGATCGTGCATGGACGGAAAAAAGAAGAAATGCGTATACATTGTGTTATAAGCGGAGTTTTCAATTTGATGGATCAATAAATTACCTTCATATTTGTATACCATTCACATTTTTAGCTCTCGACTTTTTTACTGTTGAAAACTGTAAAGCGCTTCCATAGCACTTTAATTTGTCGCAAATACTTGAATGATTAATTGACTCAGTAGGAGTAATGCCTATGTATTGATGAGGCTTTGTGTGTGCAAATGAGTAGAGCTGAATTGAAATTTGCAAGAATACGATTTTATTCTCAAATTTATTTAAAAGTATTTTACTTATTGACTAGTGGTTAAACAGTTCGTGGCATTACCTCACGTTTCTGACACTTTATGTCCTAGACTTCCATAGACTAGGAATCACCTCTCCCCAATCCCAGACCACAGACAATAACAACAAGTCAGCATGCCAAACTCCCACTGCTATGTTAGTGTCAGTGGTGATGGCAGTGATTGAGGATGCTCAGTCTTCCATATTCATCTTTTGAGCCTGAAGAGGAAAGGGAAAAATGCTAATGAGTCGAATTGCCACATATATGGGCATTGATTTAAAGCGAATTTAAAGCAGGGCGCAACTGTTAGGAAAACATCTCTTTTCATTCTAAGTGAGGTGATTCAGTGAAATATTGCGATGAAACATCATTTTGTTTAGGCCAATGTCAAATGGAATGGTGGGTGTTAATCGAAACGTCAGCAGTGTAAAAGTGGAAATGTTGCATGTAGACGTCGTGGTGATTGATGTAATTGCCTACAGATTAATTTAATGAGATTTGAATTAATGAACCAAAGTGTACGTGTGCCTGTTCCATCGCATGATGCACGTACGATATTATCAACAGATTGTGGGATTTGTTTTGATCGGGTTGGTATACCACAAGAAAACAATACCTTATCGTAAATGAGGAGAATATGAATTAAGAGGAGCCGGAGTCGTGGTTGTCTAACCAAATCGTGGCATTACTATTTATGGCTTAATGAGTGGGATGCTCTTCCTGGACAAACTATTTCGATTAACAAAATACTAGATGAGTCAATGGCGAAGGAATTGGCCTGGTATCACGTTCTTTCAAGAATTAGTGTACTGCATGAGAATTTTCGCATAAATGGCGACCAAAATGAGCCCGTCAGTTTGTCGCACATCTTTCTCATTAATTGAACGCTGTGGATGTTGTTATTTTGTCTACATATCGTGGTACTTTATTGGCGGGATGAGGTTGTGGAGTTAACACATGAATGGTACTGATTCATTTATTTACACTGATTTAATTCAATAGCAAAATAATCAAAAAGGTGTATTCAAACCTACTAAAACACAACAACTTAATAAGATTTATGATAAAAGTAAGGATGGAAGTCCCGCAAGGAGTACTCCCTACTTAGGAAGCATTTCATGGGGTTAGTCGCGGGCATACTTGTGCATTTTCCGTCACATTAGACTGTGGCCACATGATGCCGTTTCCTTTGTAAAGCTTACATAGCTAAAATTGACCAGTCCAAATGACATTGCTAGGAGTTCTAATCATAAATAAAAGCAAACTTTCCTTTTTAACATTTGCATTCTTCAGACAAAAAGGGAGTATGGCAGATTTTGTACTGTGGTCATACAAATTCACCCTTGATTGTTACTAAGCCGCTGTGTATAGTAAATTAGATAATTCTCTCTTTCAGTTTACTACTAGGACGATTAGATGCAATGAAGTTTAATGCTTTGCTTATTTGTTTAACCCTTCGTCTAGGACACTTACGGCTCCGCCTTTGTACTTCCACTGGCGCCATGGCCCCCAGACAACGTCAGTAGCCCCCCACTTTTCTGCACATCCCTGAAACATTCCCTGTCCTAGTATTATGACCTCTTTCGTCTTCAGAAAAGACTCGAGGGGCTAAAGAAATTTGTATTAAAAGCAAGTAAATCAGGCGAAATATTCAAACGTCGCGCGATCGGTAATCTCAGCTTCACCCAAATATTGGATGAATAGGGATAAAGACACGGACGACCACCACGGGGGGCAACGACTACCGCACGCCATACATTAATCGTCCCTCCCTGGGCTTTCGCAATTGCAACCTTTACTTTGGAGCAGTCACCTCTTAGAGGCTGACAGCCAACTTTTAACTCAGTTTGTGGTAAAAGCTCAGATTATACAAGTGAGCATGTCCATCTTTTTCCACCTAATAGGTACATAGTTTCATGTCGTGTCATTAAGATTATAAGCATTCATTCACGTGTTTTGCTCTTTCCATGCATTAATATGATTAAGTCCGCCTTTGGCGTTATTAGTGGACAGTTTGAAACGCAAGTGATTTTTTAATTACGGTTAAGCTTCATCATGTTGCGCAAAAATTCCGACCCGAAAAAGCGGGTTCTCTTGCTGACTAAAGCATAAATTTCACCCATCACCCATTCCGTGTAACGCAGAGTGCCCTTGTTAAGACCGGATGGTAACTACTAGTGTGAGCGATTATGGCTTTTCCGGCTAGTGCTATGGCACTTCGAATGAAAAATTGCGGTGCTGATGGGAAGTGGTTGTAATCAACGCATTCTTGTAAGCCACAAAAGGAATCCCACAGATTTCAGACTCGTGTGATGGAATATTAAAATGATACGATCTGAATTACCTGCTAATGCGAGCCGGTTCAATGTGTGAGTGAACTTATCAGGGACAGGAGTCAAAATTGTCAATGCTCTCAAGCTGTAAACCTCGAAGCCCAAGGCTAGAGATGAAATCCATGCTTTGTCTGAATAATACAATAATGATAGTAGTAATGCACACATCATAAAAGGGTGTTTAACACTGCAAATTGACAAAAATTACATGTTGTTTGAACTGAGTAGTTTTTCTTGAAAATTTTATTACGTTCCATCAACCACCAAGGGATTGTATATTTTAATGGTTTGGTTTAGTTCATACATTCTGTGCATGAGGATAAATTAAATAGCCCTTTCCTGTCACAAGAATATAGGTAAGTTAATCCGGTGTAAAGTCTTAAAGGGACCATGGCGTTCAAGTAAGTGTGATTGACATCTGTTGGTCCTGGCTTCCCAGTGTTAGTAGTTTCATACTGCAAATGACAGGTGGAATACGATTAGCACATCAATTTATGGGAAAATAATGCCAGATCAGGCATCTTTACGGTGCAGACAGAAAGCCAATGGAGGTTGATAATCTGGTAGACCTGGATTAGTGTGCAGAGTGAGATGGCTTTACCCTGTAGAAACAGGAAAGAGTGAAGCTTGTGGGTTAAATATAGATATGAAATCTTCTTTGGTTTGGCACATTAGGCATTCAAACTGCCTTTTAATGAACATCCGTGGAACAGGGGGAAGTGGTGAAGTGTGGTGGAGAGGAAAGGAGGGGCTTAAGTGAATCATTACTAGAGCTGGAGGAAAACCGGTGATGCCGTAGTTGACTTACTATTTTCATGCTCTGCAGAGGGTTTTGCTTTTTTGTGACAAGGTGGTTTTATTCTGAGGTATGAAGCAAAACGTAAAATATTTCCTAGACTGAATATTTTGATTTAAAATTCGCAGAAAAACGAAGACCACATGAGAGATCAATGGTAGAAACATCCAATAAACATGCTTTAAGTCCGGTATCCAAAATTGGAAGTGTTCGTAAATATCCAACTCAGCGATCTAAAGCTAATTTCACATCTTTATTTTGTGACAAAGATTGAATTGACAGGGTAGGTAACTTAGGTGGAACACAGTGGTTATATACTTCCTATTAATACCCTCATTCAGTAATTGGACCTTCACTAGACCTCGCTGTGTACATGAAGGCGAGCACGTCGGAGCAAACCGTCCTCCGAGCTCTCCATATTCAGACTGGACATGGTAAAATTTTGGAGATGGACTGTTGTCGCCACTAGAACGGTTGAGGGGTCGATAAGGAAGGGGGCAGTGAACTTGAGGTCGGATGATACTTGAAGGCGATAAGGCACGTTTCGGAATGCTAATGAAGACGGGTAAGTGATAGGTAAGCCGGAATACTGATTAAGTTCATTTAAGGCAGAATATGTTAATGTACTGATCCTTCCTATTAAAGATCCGTCAATGGACCTAAGGGAAGAGCAGCTCGTCTATAGGAACTGACATCTTACCAAACCAATGTAACTACCCTTGCTCAATGCTGCAATTAATACTGCAATTTTGTGCTAGAAATCAACTTCAAATGATTTGGTATTGTGATTGGTGGATAATTAACTCCTCCTGTTATGGATAAGTGTAAGACTGATTATTTTGGGTGGAATCTGAATATGGTTTGTTAACTTTATACTACGAACAGCTACAAGCGTTTCTGGGCAAACACACTTACCTGCTTTGTTAAGATAAAAACGATTCCTTCAAATGGATTTTAGGATATTGTGGTTGAAGTACATAGGTAAGAAATTGTCAATTTCCGTTAATTTGATCCCACTATGTAGCATTTCACTGCAAAGCAGCGACAATTTCAACCGAGAAGATGGTTAAATATGGCGGTGACTAAGTATTTTATGGTTATTCGGAACGTGAGTTGGTAATTCCCGATGTATATCGCAGCCTTTTGGAAAGACGTAACTTAGAGCACGTATATTCCATGCACCTTATAAGTTTCGCACTTCAAAGGACACTAATCCGCAAATTTGCAGACTTCGTACTCGCCATTGTAAATGTGCAGTTCCAGTATTGCAAGCTTGCTTACAGGAGCCCGATCATGTAAGTATTGAAAGGACTATTGCAGTTACTGTCAATACACGCCCTTTGAAAAGGCCTAACACTAAATTTTGCGTATCCAACACAATCACAAAATCACAGACTTTTGCATGAATCTGGTGCAGTAGTATTCGCCTTAGTAAAACGGAGAGGCGCGCCAAAGTTTATATTATTTCTAACATACCAAGAACTGGAGGGAATTTATTGACACATTTAACGTAAGATGCCCACTCTGTTAAACCGGCTTATAATTTAAAAATAACTAATGATCTTTAAGTCAATCACATACAGAATTCTGAGTAAATTATTCTATAGGGATGCGGTATAATTTTGTTGGACCAAACAGGACGATTGATCATCAAAATCAATCCTATGGGCTTGCCCAGATCAAGAACAATGAATGACATCATTTCTAGAAATAAATTAATCGGTGTATGTTAAAATACTACCCAAATATTGAATTGCAAAATATTGCTCAAGATTTCTCATTCGCCTTAAATCAGCTTTTGCTGCAGAGAAATGAAGCTCTGTTCGTGCTGCTTATGTCATTATTTCTAAAACGACATCAGAATAAAGCGATGGTCACTTGCAAACCCTTTTACGGTTCAGATATAAGTAATGATTTGGTTTACAATTCAGACACCATAGGCAAAATGACACTAAATGTTCAAGCAGAGTTCGATTAAGAACGGAAGGGTCGAAGCCCTGACATACAAATGGAGATTATTAGGTATTATAGCTGCCTGACATCTTTGAGATTGGTAAGCCAGAGGATTACTTATGCTGCGTCTACACATTTTGACACTGTACTGAAAACATTAACCATAGAGTTTACAGAAGACAGTTTCCTATAATCTAGAATTCTGTAATGGATTATAAATACGCATAATCTCCTCAGGGAGAAAGAGACGCATGAGGAGGCTTCAAGTCTGGCATTTCAAGAAAGTCAAGCAGGGATGTCTCAAGTAACCATACATAATCAACATCGCCACCCTCTTATGTACCTCGGGCAGTCGGTGCATGATCCCACGACGATGACGGGGGCGAGGCGATGGAAACCACCCGTGATGCTGCTCACCGTCTCGTAGCTCTGCGTAAACTTGGACGCTAAATATGATGCAGTTTACTGTAATTTCAGAGGTCCCAGCCAAAGGCAAGCTTATGGTAGATTTTAATCAGGAGTGGAAAATAGATTGTTAAAAAATAACTAGCTGAAAATGAAAGGCACTTATAAATTTACTTCTGAATATTTTCAAAAGAAAAACGTTTTTCCTTCATTTTCGTAACTAACGATAGTAAGTGTGCATTCGGATTAGTATTTAATGCTTCTAACCCAAACCAATTTTATGTTCATTTTTTTGCGCATTTTAAGATGGTGAAATTGGTTCTACTGAGGTCATCACCATGGCACTGTTTACACTAAATCTGAACATGCTTTCCTTCTTTTGTATCTGGACGATGTAGTATTAAGAGCAGCCTAGGTGCCAAGCTGTCGCTACTAGGCGTTTACCCAAATACTTTGACAAGTGCACATCTAGTGTATTGATGAAGGTTAAAGGTCGTAGCTGCACATGGTAAGACAAAAGTGAGATAAAGCCCCCGGGATAACTAGGTAGTAGGAATTAGGGCGTCTAGGTGGTAAGAACCCACCGGTTCGGCAGACGATGGCCAACCTCACTGTTTATCTACGTCATTTCATCCCCTCTTGCAAATATTCTGTCTGCATCTATGTTAGAGCTCATGTTTGAAGACCGTGGGATCAGGTGGGTATGCTTACACTGTGGTCACATAGGGCACATAAAAGGGGGTGGACAAGCGCCCACATAAATAACTGGTGGGGATTAGGCCACCCCGGTAACAGAAACCTCCCCACACATCAAAGACGGTGTCTAGCTTGTCAACTCGCCTTTCCCCAGTGCGCATAATTCGTCAACATGTATGGAAGACTCCGTACTTAAGGGGACTTGAATTAGTCCTACCCTTCATGCAGATGAGAAATGAATTAGCGTAAATATTTGTTAGTTTCAAATAAGGATTTGGAAATTGTTGCGCATAATTAAAATATTTTGGTTGTTCGAGAACACCTAAAAGTGGGTCGCGGAGCAATATCAACCAACTGATAGATCGTGCTAACTGCAGTTTTCTGTTTACAGATGTGTGTCCAATCCAAGAGGTGGATTTGTTAGACTTTTGGTAAATGCAATATTCACAGGATGTCCGTCGCCAAATGCCACATTCAACAACTCCAATCACGCAATCGATAACCCACGACAAAAAAATGAAGTGAAAGTGAATGATGAACATTTTCATGAAAATAGAGCGTTGACGTACTAAAACACTCAATTAACTTGAAGTACTATTGAATGGTCAGAAGTTCTTAATCATTGGTGGAATAGTCGGATCTTTATGCTACCATTGTGTAGATTGAATGATCGAAATATTATAAAATTCGCAAGTGAAGTGGATACGAGTTCTCTACAAAATATTACAATAACGGTTTTCAATTATTGCTTGAAAATTAAAAAAAATGATGCATACTTTCTAGCCGGTTACATTTCATACTGTCGCATGTAATATGATGGCAGTAATGCTTGGGTTAGTGGAGGGTGGCTGAGTTTTCCCCCTTATAAGATGGTGATGGTAGGACGCAAGTGAAGATTAAGGTATACTTGAACGGAGGAGAGGAAAAGCATCGTAGCTTGCGGGTTATCTGGCCAAACAGCCAATATAATTGACTTTGTTGTATGTAAAGGAAAAATGAAACAAGGCTTTGCCATGCTCGACCCCAATCAAACTTCTCGTAAGATGGCAAGTTTGTGCTGTGCTTCACACATGCCCATATACTGTCAGAATTATGGATTATATGAATAAGCGAGAATACATTTCTTGGTCCAATATGCATTAGTTTGTCTTATTATTAAGCAATTATATTGCGTAAATGACTGATTTAGTAAAGGTCAGTTCCGAGAAGTTTGTTCATCCTTACTGCTACGGCTTAATACATTCAGAGGAGTTGTGAAGCTGTTGTTGCTATTTTATCCACACAATGCTGAAGATGACAAGCACCTAGAAGCAGACCCACCACATTGCCCATCGAAGTACATGATGCAGACACTGTCACACACCTGGATAGTGATCTTGCAAAAGCAGATTCTGTCCTGTGACTGCTGTTGGTGGTGGCTTTAATAAGCTGGATGCTGTGGCAATTTAAGGTCATTGTAGCCAATGCTGTACTGCAATGAATTAAATACACCGAATCCACAACACACTCACTCGTAAGTTGGAACGTTAAAGTCACACCCGTCGTGAATAACTGAACACGGTAAGACTAAACAAGATAGGAGATGTAGCAGTGAAGACCTCATCGACCTGTCCACCCCCGATTACAGGTGCGATAATTATACTGTGTTGAATGGACCTCCTTACGTGAAAATGTCCACTTTAAACGTTTGTGGTTAGAAGCTCGACTTTAACCCAGCTTTTACTAAATAGTGTAAAAGCTAATTGGTTAAGTATAACTTATAGTCCATTATTTCTAAAATAATATTCTTGTTGTTAAAAGAAAAATTTAGAAGCTCTAGATATTTTGAATTAAGGGTCATCCGAGGGACGTTGACGAATTTTAGTAAGCAGTTTAGGTCTTTTCTTAAATATTCGACAGCTCTAACACGCAAAATCGACTTCATATTGTTCTGTTTTCAAATAGCCTTAATGAAACCTAGAGAGAGAAAGAGGGTGCGGGTGACGGAAAAGAGATCCTCAAAAAACTTATGCTCCGGTGGCAGTCAACCCAAATATGGCGAGGCAATGTGCTGCGTCCGATACAATTTATCCACATACTGCTTGTCCGTCCCGTTTTTTTCGTTCATACCACTTTGTATTTAATGTTACTTTGGTTGGGTGTGAGTGTATCCACACTATCTAGCCGAGCTACGTGAAAGGAATTTGTAATTATTCGTGTAAAAATCATACTAAACTCGAA